AATGACCCTAAGTGTTGTGAGAGAAAAGAGGGATCTATATAGTGTGAGGTGAAAGTATATTGGCATTGTAAAGTTGAGAGCTGATGTTATGGAGAAAATATAAATTACTATGTTTACGTTTGCAAACAAAGGGGATTTTGAAAGCTAACAATGCTAAAAATATGAAAAAATATCTTAAAGGGACTAGATTGATATTATATAAGAAATTAGAACTGTCTAACTGCTGTGAAATACCTGTTTTTTTCTTTTATATTTTTATTGTTATAACATTGATTAATAATAGTAATAGCAGATAGGATATAGAAAAAAATGAATTGTTTATTGGGAACAGAATTTTACTTAATGATCTCTGTTGTGGACTAAAGATTAACAAAGGGAAAAAGGGAATTGTGTATCTAAAGATGTTATGAACAAGGCAATGGCTGGCTACTTTTGAAGTGTATGGCTCTCTCTTTTTTTATATATATAACTCTTTAAAAAACTAATAAACCTTGCCCGTCAACAATGGGCAAGCAGGGGGGGGAAAGAATCCGACTCTAGGGATGCGGTGCTCATCTCCGTTTCCAAGCCAAAGAGCCAGCGCTGTCCAAAGATGTTTCCATGGTCATGTGGCCGACATGACTAGATGCCGATGCGCATGGAACATTGTTACCTTCCCACCCAAGCAGTACCTATTTATCTACTTGTAATTTCTTGCTTTTGAACTGCTAGGTTGGCAGGAGCTGGGACCAGAGATGGGAGCTCACTCCGTCATGCGGCACTCGGGTCTCGAACTCCTGAACTCCTGACCTTCTGGTTTGAAGTTCAGCGTCTTAACCACTTGAGCCACCACAGCCCATTTGTCTGCTAGAGACATTTAAATGTTATTCTGTTAGATGAGTAGAGTCTCTGTCTTGATCTACTAGCTGATTCCAGTGCCTTAATCCAGCAAGAGAAACACCAGTGGATTGAGACCTGTGCACATAAAAAGGTAAGGGTATTTCAAAAAGTCTTGCTAGATCATACCAACACTCTTTTTGATCCAGCAGCTCACTTCCAGCAACACCCAGCCAGATGCATCTAAAAAGCATTAAAGGGCATGAAGGAAACACCTTCAGTCACTGCTTGTGCATTAGCAACAGCAGAGGAATGTGGCCTTCGAATATGAAGGTTCCAACTGCTAGCTGCTAATAGCCAATGACGGACCTCAGGGTCAGCTCAAGTTTTTTGGCACCCTAGGTGAACTATGACCCATTCAACAGAGAGAAAATGGAGAAATCTAGGCCTTCCAAATGAACAATTTAACACCTAAAGCTTTCTACAGACACCAATCTTCTGTTATGCTTTCTCCCCAATGAACTGCAGTGCTCTGAAGTCCCTCTCTTTCCTCCTGTCTTTCTTTTTTAAGTTTGAGGTTTATCAAAAGGGTTAACGGGCCATTCTGACCTCCAATAGACTTGGCCTGAAAATGAAAGTACTATGCATAATCGTAACTGGGGTTCTAATGACCCCAATAAATATTGAAAAAATGATTTTAGCACTGTTCCCATATATAAATAGATGGACCAACACCTATTATATCCATTTTAAAGGAAGGTGGATCAAACAGTGAAAACTAAGATTTCTCTCCATAACTTATATCTATAGACATTTGTTGGTAATGGGGTTTTCCACCATTTTTTGAATTAGGGGTTTATTTATTTATTTATTTATTTATTTATTTTATTTATACCCCGCCCTCCCCGCAATGCGGGCTCAGGGCGGCGTACATAAGGGCATACTTACATAAGGGCATACGCCAATATAAAAACATATTTAAAACCATTTAAAATCCATACAATACAAAAACATTCCTAATAAGTTATTAACTAACTAACTAACTAAAGTGCTCTCGATGTTCAACATCGATGAAATGACCCCCATGGAAACCAGTATTTGCAACCTGAATTGTTGCATTATATAATAGGAGCAGGTAAAAGCCCTGTGTTTGTGCTCTGTCAAAGCATCCCTTATGTTTATAGCCACATTGAAAAGCTCAAATTGAACTGTATTGCAATTTTGGAAATGGGGTCATTCCATCCCCCTGCAAGACAAGCCTGTACAAGTTTGCAGGCATTCTTTGAAACTCACATTTTCCAGACTTGAAGGAGCCATTCAGCCTAGAATAGGGGTGGCCAAACTGCGGCTCAGGAACCACATGTGGCTCTTTCATACATATTGTGTGGCTCCCGGCAGGGGTGCTGGGGAAGCGAAGGGGAGGCATGCCTCCCCCATCAGTCTTCCCTTCCCCAGTCAGTGTTCTCCTCCTTGGGTAGGCTTGAGGTGTGTGGGGGGGAACAGAGAAAAAAAGCAACTTTAACTTTAATGGCATTCTCACCAGCCAGCTTGGAGAAGGCATTTGTCTCTTTAAATCCCTTCTCCAAGCCAAGCCAGCTGGCATGGGGTGGGGGCGGGGGCTTGGAGTATGCATTTAAAGTTGCTTTATTTCCACCTCTCCCTCCCCCCATCTATTTCCTTCCTTCCTTCCTTCCTTCCTTCCTTCCTTCCTTCCTTCCCACCTGTTTCATTCTTTCTTTCCACCTCTCTATTTCTCTTAGACAAATAAATATCATTAGCAAACAAATATAATTGGACAAATAAATATCATTATCTGTTTTTACCCCTTTTGTTTTTATTTCTGGCAGCGGTTCGAAAGGTAAAAACAACGAGTAGATAAATGGGTACCTGCCCTAGGTGGCAGGGGGCACCCACCTCCTGGTTCCGTGCCAGGAGTGTTGGCAGCAGCAACGGAGGTGAAAGGCGGCAACGGCGAAAAACAACAATGGCGGCTGATATCCGGATGACCAAGACCTGATGGAAGGCAGAGCGAATGCAGGATGCGAGACGCAGGCGAAGCGGATGCAGGACAGCGCAGCCCGGCTGGAGCCGGAAGGATGTGAGCCGGAAGCTGCAGCCAAAGAAGCATTCGCGCGCAAAAACACCGAGCCTCCGGGAGAAGGTCGCCGGACAGCCAGAAACAAGCCAGAAAAATGAAAACAACATGTGGACCCCACCGGGAGAAGAGAGAAGGCGCTGCCAACCGGGTGTCGATAGAGAAGTCCCTCCCCTTGTGAAATGTGGCCCTAGGTAGGTCTAATCACTACTATATAGTAGTCAGTCTGTAAACCGCTCTGAGACCCACTAGGGGTTATGGGCGGTATATAAGCCTCATGTAAATAAATAAATAAAATAAAAGGTTAATAAAAAGCAAATTTTGCTTATTTTTCAATAAAAACGTGTGTAATATTTGTTCATGTCTTGCGAGTCTCAAACATCTGATGTTTATTATATGTGGCTCTTACGTTAAGCAAGTTTGGCCACGCTTGGCCTAGAACTTTAGATGACCCCTATCCATCTGTCTACTGAGCTGATTTTGTTGTGCTCTATCAAATCTCAAATTGAAGCTCCAAATTTGACTCTTCTTTCTCCTGCTTTGCTGAAGGAAGTTACTCTTGAGGCCTGATTTTTTTCTTAGTAGCTAATGCCATGATTGAGAGAGCTATCAGGTTTCCGTGACTTTTGCTGTAATATAGGGTCACTTTGACCCCTATGCCAAAGTAGTGTAGTGTAGTTTGTGTTTTTTGTCTTGGGAGGGTTAAAAATAAAAATAGACAAGCTCTTCAAAAGCCTTCTTTGTTCCATCTTGGCCGCTATGGAAGACCAGATATGGAAACGTTAGAAGACTCTTAACGCCAGGCTTCCATTGAAGCTAGAAGAGGAGGCCCATCTCATCTTTTGGGCACCCCCTCAAAATCTAGCACCATAGGTGAATGCCTAGGTTTGCCTAGTCGCCAGCCCAGCCCTGATTAACCTTCACATATTTAAATCCATTTCCAAAGCCATCTAAGCTAATACATTGTGTGACAGTGTATTTCATACCTTTTAATATTGTCTGAAGAAGCCTTTTCTCCTGTCTGTCCTTAATATATAGCCAATACTAAGGACGCTTTGCTGGCATGAAGCTCCATTGTATAAAAAGGGAAATACTTCTGAGTTTAGGATTACTTCCTCTTGTATTATAATCTTATAAAAGAAGTTCTTTCCACGTATAGTCTCCAAATAATTCATGATTTTATAAACCTTTATCATAGTGGTTTCCACCCCATGGGTCATGTCCCTACAATTCACTGAGCACTATTTGAAAAATCGTGACGCTTTTTGTGTGTGCTGCTCACTACTGTAACAACCCTAAGGCAATAGTGGCTTTGGCTGTAGGTGATCATTTGTAAAGGGCACTGTCATACCTATCGTCTCCTGCCTGCCCACAGCCTCCGGCTCCTGCACAGGTGGGAGAGAGCAAGGTCAGAGGCTGAGCCCCTGTGGAGCCATAAAGTCACCACAGAAACCTCTGTAAGGAGCATCCACCAGAGCATCTACCTATTGCCTTAGGCTCCTGCCTGCACCTCCCATGTAAGATGCAGGGAACAAAGCAAGCCAACAGCAAGTTGCAGCAGTACTGTGCAGTCACAGCAGTATTTCCTCAGGAGGAGTACCCAGTCTTCTGCCTATTCCTTCATCCCTTACTATTAGAAATCATAGTCATGGGGAAACCAGAAACTGTTATGGTCTTCTTCTTTATTCAAAGAACGTTTGTACCCCAGTTTTCACAGCACACAAGCTCACCTGGAGCCCCACTTTGTGATCTTTCAGATGAATAAATTAATGCTGGCCAAATTCTTTGGGACAGAGAAGCTATGAGAATCACAGAATTACACATACTTTCAATTCCTGATTCTGTATGAGTCTTGGGTAAGCCTACCATATTTTAAACAAGAATACAGACATTTTCAGTAACCCAGCCATATTGTTTCCTACCAGAATAAAACAATCCTGATGTTCCCCCTTTTCCAGAAAGCTCTGGCAGACTTTCCCCAGTCAGGATAAGGCTTGTCTTGAAGCATCATATCTGTAACCTGGAGAGGAAGAGAAAGCAATTGTGGCTGAAGCTAATGTAATTCACCCTAAATAAAACATTTTGACTGTAAAGAGTTGCTGAAATTTCATATTATGCTTGAGATTCACATACTTGCATGAAAAATATTCCTAACCACAAGGCAGTTTTGCACATGCAGTTATGCAACCTGATTCTCTGCATGATTACTAGGAAGTAATAATTACTGGATTTAACTGGGCTTACTTTCAACTATGTGTATACAGGATGTCACCCAAATTCGTTCTTGTGCCAAGCCTGTCACATCAGAACATACCTCTGCCATGTACAATCAGAGTATAAAACACTGTGCCTAAAATTGGAATTGTCCAGTATATTACCTACACAACTCCCATATTCATGCAGTAAATCTTTTAAACATGAAAAGATGCAAGGGATACAAAGTACTCAACCAGCAAGTAACTTTATTACCCTAACAGGATACAGATTAGAAACTAAGAGATCTGAAGGAAAATCAAGGCAATGAACAATAATAGAAATCAAGACCAATAAAACACACACATCCAAACAATTCTAATGTGTTGCTGTGTTATCCTTGGATAATGATTACTCAGACTTCTCTGCCTGTCCTGAAGATGTGAAGAGCCAGAGTTGCAGTGTCGTAGTGGCAGATGGCTGGATGAGACCATCTACAAAGTTTGAGGGTCATGATATGACCTTCTTATGGACCTAGGTTTACCTGGGCTTCATTGGTGAAATCTATCCATTGGTCAACTAGGAGTAAAACCAGCTCTTATGGTAATCACTGGACCAAGGTGTAAAAATTGGGGTGCCCACTAGTAGATTCAGGGCTACACTCTGATTAGTGCTAGCGTTTGAGACCCTTTTGATGCAGGGTTAGGATCCAGACAGTGAGTGGCTAACTGGCCTGACCTATGAGGGAAAAGGTACCTGAACAAGATGTCCATTTGGGACAGGTATTAAGTTTTAGCTTAATGGCTTGATGGTACCCAGGAGATAAGCAAATGGCCATTTTCTCGCAGATAATTAATCTGCCAAGATTTGCATTTGCAGATGATTTTTATCTTGCAAACCTAAGTCTTGTATCTGAGCCATTGTATATGAACCAAAAGGTATAAGTACCTCAGGGGGTTATTAAAGGAGCCTGTATGGATGTCTTCCTGTTGCCCTTGAGATGTCCAATAGCATTTCCTGTCAAGGATCCTGTTCTTCACTTGGGACGTGGGATGTTTGTGTTGTAACACAAAAGTATGTCTTTCTCTTCACTTCTGGTATCCATTGACCAGACATTTTCGTAATATGTGTCTTGCCTTTCTATCATCAGGTCAAAGATTCTCAAGCTGAGATGCTGCCAGAGTCCCTGAAAGAAACGTACTTTCTGGAGAGCTCTTCCCTATTGTAGCAGCCCTAGTAGCCCATACTAACCCAATCTCATCCGAGCTCAGAAGCTAAGGAGGGTTGGTACTTGGATGGGAGACCACCAAGGAAGGCTGGGGCTGATGTGGAGAGGAAGGCAATGGCATACCATCTCTGCTCACTATTGCCTTGAAAACCCCATGAAATAGAACTTCATGGGCTCACAACGAATCAGTTGTGTGTCTACAGCACACTTATCACATTGCCAACTTCCATACAGGGATGCAGGCCTATAGTGACAAGAATTGTCCTGGGTTTGTTTTCTCTTTGTGGGGTACTACACCACCATGTATACTACATTCATTTTTAATCTACTTGCCATACGCATAAAACAAGGCTCAGTAGCTTTTTCCTAGCTATAAATTAAGGAGTCTGTAGAAGTAAATATAGTTGGAATAGACCTTTCTGAAATAGTGTGCAAAAAAGATGAGAAACCAAACTCACCAACCACAGACTTTAGAAGGAATATAGATAGGCATGAGTGTACTTGATTGGCACCCTATGTCTGGTAAATATCTGGAGCTGGATTATCTCTGGAAAAAATTATTACTATGTACATGGTCCATTGATTGGTAGAGTAACAAGGCTGGATTATCATTTAGCTAAGTATGTCATAGAGCACAGTAACACAGAAGAGCAGCCCCAATCCACAGAGATAAAAAAAATAACAGAATCTATGGCTCCAAAACTGAATTTATTGAAAAAAATGCTTCCTTTCCATTTTGCACCTATTGATTCTATTCCCTTTTATCTCCACAGAGATCAAAAGGGGGTCACTGCTATAATTTTCTGAAAGCACCTCAGTGTGGAAGCAGCACCCTCTCAATCCTCTATGATGGCCTCCTTTGAAATTTGCTATAACTAATAATGTAATTGCTGTGCCTTTATCACATTACAGGAATGCTTTGACCATGCTCACTTTTGTCAGGAAACTAAAAATCCTACTACAGCTGCTTAAGAAAAAAATAGTGTTCCTGTCTCTATACTTCTGAGAAATCACCTCTGGATACCATGCAATTTGATTTTTTTCTGGGAACATCTGGAGAACGTATAAACCAGCTCTTGTCTTCAAGTATTTTAAAAAATCATAATAGTGGAGTTTGGTGGTTCACCAAGATGGCTTCTGTATATGCTCATTAAGGTGACTATTGCATTTACCAAAACAGCTGCCAAATTATAGCAAAAATTTCTGGAAGTTTGGGTGATTGATTGTCATGACAACTACTGTTAATATTAATATAGCTGCTCTGCTTTGCATTTGTATTGGTAATAATATCTGGTTTCCAACCATAAGAGCTGACTCACAGGCTGACATTTTTATTGTACATTTCCCAATATGATCTCATCTTTTACAAAACAACTTCTTCTCATTCTTAATACATGGATCACCTGTAATGAACTGGTATCCTTTTCATCAACATAGTAGCAAGAAAAATGGGGTGCAGTGAGAAAATTTATTTTAATTCATTTGTATTCAAATTAATTATCCCACTGCACCAATTATCTCTTGTTTGTTGGTCTATTTTATCAGCCACTGTTGCTGTCCATTGGACACAAAACCAAGGTTCCTCAACCATTATTTCTGACATATAACTATTACCAGGGGTCTTGTTGTAGAAAAAGAGCTGCCGGAGCTCATTAGCATAACTCATTAGCATAACTTATTTGCATATGCCATGCCCCCTGACATCACCGGAAGTGACAGAAGGCCACACCCCCTAACATCACCGGAAGTGTGTCAGAAGGCCCGGCTACTTACCCTCCTGCTTCATCCTCATTCCCAAACGGAATGAGGATCGAAGCAGAGGGCGGGGTAAAGAAGGGGGCGGGGCTTCACCATGTGACCGCCCCACCCCCTAGAGGTTCTCTTCCAGAGCTCCGTACCTGAGAGCTCCCCCCCGACTAGAGCCCTGACTATTACTATTGGCTAAGTGTTTTTGCTCGGAAGCAACACAGAGGAGGTACCTCAATGTAAGTACTCTTTTCTCATAAACCTAAGACATGGCTCATGTTATGCAACTTGTGTAGTTCAACTGGTTTACCATTCACTCTT